AAAAAAAAAAAAAAAAAGACTTTTTCCTCTACAAAAACTGCAGACGCCCCTTTCTTTCACGAGGCTGCAGCAGAATCCAACCCGAACACAAAGCAGCTACACGCATACCTATGCTAATACTTAGTTTACTAGAATTTACAAGAAATTGGAATTTTGCACAAGTGAAAAGAAGTCTTGCTGCAAAATAAACCTGAAGTTCATAGGACATTTTAAAAGCATTAAAGATGGTTAACAACACAATCAAGGAGCTATAAAAGTCCTGCCAATGTAGAAGACAAGAGAAGTAATGGCAAACAGCCAAACATGGATAAAAACAAAGAAATACAAGCAAAGTTGCACTGAGAAACCTCATGACAGAAAGAAACTATGAAAAGGACAGGAGAAGGTAGCTCTAGGAACGTCTGGGAGCCAGTACCCGCCACCTCTTTCTTTGTGCACAGCATGGTATAATAATGCAGACTCGCACTAAGGCCCCTGAAGCTGTGCCAGACTGTAAATCAAAGAAAAATGAAATTGTGCTCAGTGTAGAACACAATCAAGGCAAGAAAAGATTCAAAGAAATATTAATGGACTATTTTAGGTAGTATGAAATAAACCCAATGTACTGAAGTGCTATCAAAGTGAAAGGTCCATCTGCAAGCTGAAAGAAATGCATATACACTGTGCTTAACTCAGTCCGGGTTGCCACTTATCACAACAATTGTAAATAACGCACAGTGAAACAAATAGGGTTATAGTACTTAGCCTCAATCAGAAAATTAGATACACAGACATATCTATTTTGTTATATTATTACATTTGTTAATTGAGGTTTTGCTCCATTTTAAAAGACTGGTCATTTTAAATACCATTACACATCATTACTTTTCTTCTGAATCATTTTGCTTAGTTATACACACACACAAAACACCTCAAACATTCCCTTTAAGTAAGCACTTACCTTTCTAAGCATTTCATTATCTTGAACGTTATTTAGTTCATGGGAACTAATCTCTCCTTTCAGCGTATACTCATAAAATTTTCCACTAACGTTTACCAATAAGGTAGTTGGACTTGACTGCACTTCACAGCTCAGGGTCACATTATTTACATCACTTGGAACATGAATGCCATACCGAAGAACAAGGCCCACCAAAAGACCTGGAAACAAAACAACATAAGTTTTCCTTGCATACAGAGACTACTTCTGTATCCTCCACATAACTCTGGATTGATAAGAGAGAATCCCTTGATAGTTCAGGACCAATTTTTAGATCAAGTGCTGTTACATTTTCAAGAATTAATTACTAAATTTAATCCCAGCTACTAAGAAGACTGACAAGGGGGGATTGCTTGAGGCCAGGAGTTTGGAGACCAGCCTGGGCATCACAATGACCTCCTGTGCCTCTAAAACAAAAGTGAAAAATTTAGCTGGGCTCTGATGGCTTATGCCTGTAGTCCCAGCTACTCAGGAGGCTGAGGCAAGAAGATCACTTGAGCCCAGAAGTTTGAGGCTGCAGTGAGCTATGATCATGCTACTATACTCCAGCCTATGTAACAGGGCAAGGCCCCATCTCTTAAAAAAAAAATGAAGTACTAGTAAATTCACAGATTCAAGAGCCCAATCTTAACCCAGTAATACAGGAGAGAAAAACCTTTTAGTCCCTCGGATAACAGTGCAGATGACTGCATTTCTAGATCGATATGTTAATTAAATGATGAGAAAGATAACAAAATGAGAAAAAAAAACTTTCAAATCACTTGTACAAAGAATATACTCCAAAGCGTCTTAACCTGACAGTGCAATCATGCCAGAAATAGGTTTTCAACCTCTGTCAATTTGCCGGACTTAAAACACATACATTTCCCAAGTTTATTTCCACAGAACATGGCGAACCAAATACGTTAATACATATTTAACAAATTGGAACGTCAATAATATTTATAGATTGATTTGAGTTCTGCTACTTAAAAGGACAGATTTTAATTTTAAAATATCTGCTTCAAAATCAAAACACAGAGTAGAAGTCCTGAATCTGGCACTATGAGATCAACATATTGCTAGGATTTTCCCTGGACCATCCTATTGATACCATGTTTCCCTGAAAATAAGACCTACTCAAAAAATAAGCCCTAGCAGGATTTCTATGCATTTGTTAAATATAAGCCCTACCCCGATAATAAGACCTAGCAATGGGTGTGACTATGCAGCATATCTGCATAGCCACACCATGCATTTCCGCGCAGAGCAGTAAGGAAGACTGGAATACCTTTTACCTGCCATAGCTCCTTTCTCCGAGCTGTTAGCACTTGTGCGGGTACACGTGTGGTAACCGAGGTCTCAGGCATTCTATTGCTCACATGCAAACAGCTAGGGGAAAGGAGTTCACGCATCACTAGCGCCTTCCCCACCAACAAAGTCAGCTCCCCCTGTCAGGTTCCAGAAGAAGATGACTTAACTGTATTTGAATAAATGTAGATTGTTGCATTATACGTAATAAAAATAAGATATCCCCTGAAAATAAGCCCTAGTGAGTCTTCTTGAGAAAAAATAAATATAAGACAGTGTCTTATTTTGGGGGAAACACGGTATTCAAATATGCATAATGCTCTAAGTACTGTAAACCTATACTGATCAAATGTATCCATTTAATAATGGCTTTATCCATATCTAAGTCATATAACATAAAGTTTATCCTTTTAAACTGTACAATTCTGTGGTCTTTAGTACATTCACTAAGTTATATATCAATTCCCATCATCTAATTCTAGAACAGTTTTATCACTTCCTACCCATCCCCCCACCCTTACCTCAAAAAAAAGCCCCATACCTATTAGCAGTCACTTTCCATCCCTTAGTCTCTGGCAACCACTGATCTACTTTCTGTCTCTATGGATTTCCTATTCTGGACATTTCATATAAATGGAATCTTATAATATGTAAGCTTTTGTGTCTGGCTTCTTTCACTTTGCAAAATGGTTTTAAGGTTTATCAACATTATAGCATGCATTAGAACATCACCCCTTTTATGGCCACATAATATTCCATTGTATGGATATATCTATACAAATTGAAGCTGAACTTCTGAAATTTTCCTTAACTCCAAGATGCACAGTATACTACTACTACCTACATTTTCCCTTCCTATTGTCTTTGATTCTGACCACTCATTCTTTTAATATCTGAATGGAGTACTATACTAAGAAGGCCTCCAGGGTCCAGAGATGAAAACAGGGTCCCGGCCCCTCCTTCAAGGAATATCCAGTTAACAAAAACAGATAAAAAATCATAATACAATATATATGTTTACAAAGTGTTATAAAAACAGAAAAGAGATGCCTAACCAAGCCTGAGGGAGTGAGACATTAAGGAAGTCTTTCCAGAGATGTCACCCCTTCAAGTAACAAAATAGAAGAAAGAGTATATTCCAGGCAGGGGAATAGTAGTACATACCCAGTCAAGGAAGGATTGAACACAACACATTCAGGGAATCACAAGTAGTTCAGTAAAGCTGGCTTATAAAGTTCCAAGAGCTGTTTGAGAGATCAGCAAGGAGCTAAATCATAAAAGACCTTATATGTCGGGGAAGGGAGTTTGGATTTTATCCCCAAAGCAAAAAGAAATCATAGAAGGGTTCTAAGCAGGGGTCTGACATCAGACTTCTATTTTAGAAAGACTGGTTTAGACTAGAGAGGATCTTAAAGGCTAGCTACATGGCTACTGCAGTCATTCAGGCAATAAGCGCTCTTAGGATCACCTAGTCTCAGAAAGTAGTGACAGGAAAGGAGAAGGATTTTTAGAAGCTATTATATTTTAGAAAGATTTAGTAACTGAGTAGAATAGACTGGGGGAAAGGGGAATGAAAGACCGAGAGTCTTAATTGACTTGGTAACAGGGTGGGTAAGTGTCCTCCTGAGCACTAGGTAGAGACCAGGGCCAATCAATGAGGCAGGGAGGAAAAGGAGAAGTTCAGTTTGGGGCATGTTGAGCTTAATGTACTTGTGACACGTGTAGGATCTAGAGCTCAAGAAGTAAGATCTCAACTGGAGATATTTTATGACTTGGCAGTCATAAGATGATTGATATCAGGTGCAAATGAAATCGAAAGGGGAGCAAATAAAATGTCAAGAGGACTATGAATATAGGTCTGGGGTTTTATCCATTAATAGGCAACATTAAGGGGCTGGTAGTGGAGAAGGATTGATGAATGAGTCTGAGAAGGAAAAGCTGTAGGAGTAGAAAGAGAAGAGGAAGCACTGGTGGCAAAGAGGTTAGGAAGTGAAAATTTCATTTTTGAGAAGGAGAAAGTTATGAAAACTAGTCAAATATTGTAGCATCAAGTACGGTGGGCTTGAAAGTATCCATCGGGTTTGGCAAAAAGAAGGTAATGGGGGCGGCACCTGTGGCTCAAAGGAATAGGGCACCGGCCCAGCCCCATATGCTGGAGGTTCAAACCCAGCCCTGGCCAAAAACTGCAAAAAAGAGAGAAGGTAATGGGTGACCTTGATAAGAGCAGTTTCAGTTGAACAGTGGGGATAGAAAACAGCCATGAGTGAGGAGTGAGAAATGAAGAAGCAGAAACAACGGGGTGTGAGGGCAGTAGTTAGGAAGAGAGGAGGGAGCAGAGATGAAGAATCCTTCTAGTCAACTTGCAGTCACATATGTTTTTAGAGTAGTAATGATTAACTGGTGAACAGGACCATGACACCAACTTTTAAAATGTTATAACAAAGCTTCTAATTTAAAATAGATGAAAGATACACTCTGAAAATATCTCGGCTCCAGAAAACAAAATAAAAAGTGACTGCTGGCTATCAACTGTGCTTAACAGACATAGGAGGGAAAAGGCTACAGATGCAGTCATTCTGCCTATTTGATACAGAAATAGCTTATTCCACAAGACCAAATTAAGAGGCTCAGTAGAAGCTGTCCTTGTATTTACATGCAAAAGTCACAGACAAGCTACTACAAATACTAATAAATTCTTTCCATGTCCCCAAGCCCACCTATGCAGGAATAGTATCCACTGGTTCTATTACTTGCCTAGCCCTGTGGCGAAGCATCACTAGGTGCCATGATGAGGCTCAGCACTCGAACCAATTTGAAACACTCACCTTGGTAGATAAAACAACATCATGGAGAATAATTACTTAGGTTGGAAAAAAAATCGAGATCCTTTTATTACAGCATCAGCCATCTAAAAAAATGAGATTTCTTTGAAAAAGTTGACAGATCAAGGTAACATGGGTTCCATAAAAGGCCAAATCCTAATCATGGAGTTAAAGCCATTTTCAATATAGTGAAAGGACACAAAGAGAATGTTTTGTTAATAGAATAAAATATGGCCCAGCACAGTGGCTCATGCCTATAATCCTAGCACTCTGGGAGGCTGAGGCAGGAGGATCCCTTGAACTCAAGAGTTTGCAACCAATATGAGCAAGAGCAAGACCCCATCTCTATTAAACATAGAAAAATTAGCTGGGCATGGTGGTGTATCCCTGTAATTTCAGCTACTCAGGAGGTTGAGGCAGGAGGATTGTTAGTTTGAGGTTTCTGTGAGCTAGGCTGACACCACAGCACTTTGGCCTGGGTCAAGAGAGTGATACTCTGTCTCAAAAAAATAAATAAATTTAATCTAAATTGTAAAAAAGAAGATAGTAGAAACTTCTAACCTCTTACATAGAGAGGAAGAAAGAAACACTGATATTATGAACTTTAAAATCAGTACCAAAAGGCAACAAAGAACACAAGTACAAAAAGATAACATTGACAAAACAGGGAAGTTCTATCCCTCCTCCACATTCCTGACTAACTTGTGCTGGAAAGCCTCCCAGTGATAAGGAACTCAGCATCACTCAAGCCTGCACCATTGTATGATTCTCCCAGTCAGTAGAAACTGGTTTTCTCATGGATTCCAGCCCATTATTCTGGCCTATCACATCTGAAACCTCCAATAGTCAAAAATATGGAAGGAATATCACTGGGGTATTCAGTGTGGCCAAAACTGACCACATTTCCACAGATTAAAAAGTGAGTGTGTATAAATATTACTTGCTTGAAGAACACTGTTAGAGTCTATGTTAAAAGCTAATTCAGCTTCAAGATAGCCAAGCCTTTTGCTGACCTCTGGTTAGTTCTACATGCATTTCTTCATTCATCT